GACATCTTATGTTTCAATGATCAGGATGCTCAGCGCGATTCCAATGATCCATTGTAATTTATAATATGTCCTAATAAATCCATATAAATCCCATTATTGAAGATTGAATGCTATATAGGGGGCTCAATAGGAGATATGGCAATCATGGGGTGATTTCATGGGAGATATTGGGAGATATAACTTATATAACCAACAATAATGGAAGACAATGAGTTTATAACCCAGAATAATCGGAGTCAATGGGATTTACTGGAGTTGGGTTTCTCAAAAAAATGGGGGATCCCCAAGTCACCATGGTCGTTTCAATACCAAAATGGTCTTCCATAACTTGGATGCTTTGGGGGACCCCCCCATTTTCGGGAAACCTCCGTATAGGGATGTATATATATATAATGGTTTATAGCCAACAATGTCTGGGGATATAATGAAGATATATTGGGAAATTATTAGGAAGATCATTGGATGGAATATAACACCAATATTTATAGCCTCTGGTAATCATCATGGCTGGAAAATTCATTGTTTAGTTCGGGATAGTCAAATCCAAAGTCTTGATCAGCAAATCCTCACTTTTGCCAAGTGTTGGTCAAAGATCGGGGGTGTCCTGAACTGGTTGGTGGTATGGAACATTTGGATTATTTTCCATATATTGGGAATTTCATCATCCCAACTGACTTTCACTCCATCATTTTTCAGAGAGGTTGAAGGTCAACCACCAACCAGTGAAAAATAGAGGTATCCCAAATCATCATAAATCATCCAAGTCATGAAATGACCACGACTTATACCCATGACGACTGGGCTACCCCCATTGGGACCTTTTTTCAGGCCGTGTTTCCTCCACGGCCAGGCTACACGGGCTACATCCCAGGGAAGCATCCGGCCAACGTCTTCGGTACCACCTTTGCGGACTCCAACAGCACGGCGATGGAGGTGGGCTCAGCTATGGGGATATGATTGGGACATAAGGAAGTATACCCTCTGGTAAACGTTTACATAACTGTGAAAAATCACTATTTTCAATGGCTAAATCCACTATAAATGGGCCATGTTCAATAGCTATGTTAAATTACCAGGGGGTGGTCAACTATGTATATATATATATATACACACATACAATCGACTTCATGTGCTCAACATAGGACAAGACATATCATGAGATAAGATCATTGAAGGGCAATAACAGGAGGACATCAGTTTCCACTTAGCTAGCACTTGGCTCACCTAAGTTCCCAGGCAGCTCCAAAGTGATTTTTCTCCGAGAACAAAGATGCATTGGAAATTGTGGCCTGTAGATGGGTTGAAATGTGGAAGCAATGAGATCTACAGAAAACAAATAGCCATGAATAGAGAGGTCTATTGTTAGGATTGTCTTGAAGGTCAGAATGGATGTACCTAACATGTTTCGTTTTTCGTATGTGTCTATCCCGTTGCCGTTGCCCCAAGGATACCATCCTACCAGTTACTACTGGGCTGCCATGGGTCATAATTGTTGGACCTCAAACATGGCTGGATGGGCTGGCTGGATCCCATAAAAATCTGGTTGGATCATAAGGATGTCACCACACACATTTACCCCAGAATGATTTACTGTGAATACCAGGGTGTATCCTGAGTAGGCCTGAGTTATTTTAGGCAGGTGAAGGATGATCATTTACATTCAATGGGTTATTTGGATTGATCTGAGTTATTTGGATTGCAAAGGATGGTCAGTACCAAGGTGTATCCAATGGGTTATTATTTCATCATTGACCCAGATTGCAATGATCCAAAAAAAACACCAGTTTCGATGAAATCATCAAACATCCCCATCAGTTTTCTCTTGAGGTCCCAGTCCAGATGGCCCCCCAGATGGCCCCCCAGGTCTGTCGCGAACAAGCTTTGGGTCGTCAGCACCGTGCCCCAACCTTGAACCCAACAGCGCCCACCAGTGTCGCAGGGACCGAGATTTCCGGTTGAACGGGCTTCGTCAAAAAATATGTTGAAGAACATTTAAGTTATTGACTTGAAATGATGTGTACGTTGGAATTCAAATGAAATCATCTAAATCAACTGAATGTTTTTTGGGTGTTCCTGAAAGTTTTTTTTTCTGGGGTGACACTTGTCATTTTATTCACCTACTCTCTGGCAGGAGTAAAACCAAGGCCAAGGTTGACTAAGAGGGACACTTGAGTTAAAGTGTTCTCCCAAATTTCACATGTGGGAATGCCAGACAACCATCAGATTTGATCTTAAAGAGTTTGTGCCAAATCTCAAGTGTACTGAGGGATGAAAGGTTACCCGGGTGGCCTAGCAGCCAATTCTTGCCAACATGTTCCGTTTGAATTGTTTCATGTGACTCATCAATGTTCACTAATCTCATTAATTCGTATTAATCGCAAGCAGCTACAAGCATGCCCTATCAATAACGAGACAGGCATGATGTATGCAAGCAAACTGACACCCAGATCAGATAGGTCAAGAGTCCACAGCCTGAGCCTGATTTGTTGCGTCTGGAAGTTTGGATTAGGATTTATCAAAAGAATACTGTGTTGAGAAATCCATGTGGCATTGCAAATCTGTGACATTCTCAGGACATTTTCTGTCTGAAAACACTGGCGATTCATTGAGTTGGATGAACATCAGCCCCCGCTCAAAGTCGCAGAGGACCCGTCCCGCCTACGTCGTGACACGCTGGCAGTTGGACTGAGAGATCTTGAACTCGGGCTCCAAGCGGAATGTCGATCCTGGATAAACCCTGAAGCGATTGGGGCTCTTGTCCCCATGACTTTCAAAAGATCACCGTCAATGAATCCGGGGCGAGACTATTGAGACTATTGAGGTCTGGTTGGTGGTTTGGAACATTTGGATTATTTTTCCATAGATTGGGAATTTCATCATCCCAACTGACGAACTCCATCCTTTTTCAGAGGGGTAGGTCAACCACCGACCAGAGTTTCACTTAACTCCATCCTGTTCCTGCACAGCTGCGCCGAATGGCGCCTGGCCGCACTCTGAAAGCAGGGATGAAAAGGTGTCCGATTCAGAACGAGCCATGGAGACTGGGGGAAATCTGTTCTGGTCCAGTTGAACCATTTTTTTTAGTAGATCCACAACTGGCTGATCGAACCTGTGGTATCCTCTGAGACTCTGGCTGATGATTGTAGCTTTTTTGTAGGTCAAAATAATGAGGCTCTCTCATTGTTGTGAATCATAAAACGCCTTGATTGTCGTTGGTTACTTGGTTACATCACATTTTGGTTAGCAGTTTCTATGCCATGGTGTATCTCCTAAGTCCATTTTGTTGGTTGTTCTTGCAGTTTACGCACCATTCATATCGCTGTTTTTTATTGCACTTTTTTTTTGTTACGAGATATCAACCCTTGGTTTCCTTGTTTTTAGCCCTGCCACCCAGCATTTGACGAGGGCTTGTCGGAAAATAGAATACCCCTAATTTTGATGTCCTCATTAAGATATGGTAATAAAAAACTACCATTGTACTTTTATGGGTAACAGTATCCTCATTTTCAGACACTCAGACAGCCTACTGTCATATTGTTGGTTGTATGTATACCATCATTGATATTCCCATTTCATTCTCATTATACAGTCAGGTTTGTTTGTGAAATCCCAGGGGGTAGCCCCTATGTTTGGACAAAACTTTGTAGATTTTTCAGGAATCCACGTGGATTTGTCCGCCACCAACGCCTGGTTCAAGTTGCCGCAGCTGTGATTTTTTGGTGGGGCATCTTGAGTCAGGCGCGCGCCGCGGCACTGCGCTGCACGTGAAACATGTCAGTGCCATGAGTTGGATGGTGTTTTTTTTGTGGGATATACCATCTGGTAAACTAACATAACTATGGAAAATCACCATTTTCAATGGGAAAATTCACTATAAATGGCCATGTTCAATAGCTATGTTAAATTACCAGAGGGTATACTGTACCATCTGGTTATTTAACATAGCCATGGAAAGATCCACCCATTCTTTATAGGTAAACCAACGAACTAAATGGGCCATCTATACCATGGCAAACTGTTAAATAACCAGAGGGTAATCAAGAATATGGGAATATCACTCACCATTAACATGGGGTAGAATAGGTTTATCTGGGATATCAGGGACATGATGGGAATATAATGGAATATAGCATGATATACGGGTACCCACTATAAGAAATCCCAGTTATGATGATGGGCTGGGACAAGGCATAGCATATATCACGGCACATTTGAGGGTGTCTTCAAATGCGGGACCCAAAGTCATCCAAAAATGGTGGTCCTTAATTGGAATAGAACAATTGTGAAAAGGGGTAATCCATTTTCAGGTAAACCCATTTGTAGATGTCGTAGGTTCACACATACAGTATCTTTATTAAACATTGAAGGTTTCTCAACGTAAACACAAAACCAGTACATGTTTGTGGGTTAACGAGATTCATGAGATAATCATCTTATTTGCTTATTATGCTTATTGAAGATTCTTGTTTTGTTGCGAATTTGTTCAGCATGTTTGCAGCAAGATGGGCATGTGATGTTTGAAAATGGGAGCTCCGCTCTTTTTCGCTGTCTCCCTATGTTTCATCATAGGTATTCAACCCCCCCAAAAAAAGTATCCAAAAAAGTCAGGTGATCCCTCCAATAATTTACAGCTTGACGGTTGAGATTTGAGCACAATCGATTTGTTTTTTCGTTTTCAGACGTTTGCAGGGCGACCTCACGGGATCACCATTCTGCTTCTGTTCTCCAATTTTTTTCGGGGGCTCCCTTAAAGAGGACGACGTTATGGTTATGGCCATGAAAACCAATTAAAAGTGGTTATTTCTATGGGATGAGAAACATTCTATAAATGGGGTGACTTGTTAGTACTTATAACTGATAAATGGCCATAACTGTATCAGTTTTCTACAATCACCCAAAGTGACCCCAACACAAATTGCTTACGGTCCGAAATTGAAACCCAACTCCCATAGATCGCAGTTGAGATCCTGCCACAGGGCATCGCCCAGATTTTGGGGGCCATGGGTGCGGAAACTCAGAGATGCCGACAGATGAATCTCAACCATCCAACAGTTCCTGCAGTTCTAAAGCAACAGAAACCTATCTAAAGTTCCACCATCCAACACTAGTTCCCACATTGTACATTATACTTCAATATCTGGTGGCTAGGCGGGAATGCTTTGGAGCGCTAGAGCCGGATATTCCCTTTGATTTTTTCGATGGAGCCAGTTGGAGCTACGAATTGAGTTTCACCATATGATACATCTATTGGTAGATGGAAGTTTCAAAATATCCAAGGGAATATGAATAATGTTGTCTAGCCAATAGTGATATCTTGTCAATAGTAGAAACATTTTTCCGCAACTCCATTTTGCTCCAACACTAAAAGTCAATTAGCTCCATTTACTTTTAGTATTGCCAAAAGAGTCATGTTCTGACCTTGTCCAGAGGGCATGGTATAGTATCCAATATTAAAAGTTAATTAGCCTAATTTAATTTACTATTGGAATGCTGACCCCCCCCGTATTTGTTTTAAAAAATATTTTATTTGGGGGGGTTTACTATTAGGCAGCATACATTATCATTTGAAAATCCCTATCTTCATCAAAGAGAATATGAATATCTGAATATCGTTTGAAAATGCTATATTCATCAAATTTGATCCACTTCAGGATTATCACATAACCAGTCCATCGGGGCGCTGGCCCCGAGTCATTGAGTGTGTTTACTATGTTCCGCCGGTCTCGAATAAGGCGTTGGGTCGTGGTCAGGTGTTGGGTCAAATTTTGCAGTGTTAAAATCTTCCTGATTTATTGGGATTATGAGATAACTGGGTACGTATCAACCAGCCAGTATGATGGGATAGGGGTAATGGAATTGATGGGTATTGTTCATGACTTGTTAGACCGTTATCATACCGTTCTCGGTCAAACACTTGTGGGCATCTTAACTGAAACGGGTGCCCAAATGTGGTTGAGCCAAGACTATAAGATCATTTCATGTTCAATTTGTAGCGAGAGTCGGAGTTCCACTGAAAAAAGTTTCATCTACGAAAACATATTATGTACAGTATTGTTTGTGTGATAACCCTCATGGAGAAAATATGATCGATTTACCATTCCTCCGATGAACATAGACACTGCCAATTTGAAAGATTATTTTCCACTAAATGTTGGCAATTTTCATGGTCGAACTGTTTGATTTGGGAGGGTACCACTATTTTAGGATTGGATATGACTACCCTGTTCCAGTTTGCTGCTGCTATGGAAAATCACCATGTTCAACAGGCACGGTACGCTCCGGTAATCAAACGTGGCGTGCTGGAAAATCTCCCATGTATATATATTCATTAAAACCTCTATTTATAGGGGATTTTCCATTGCCAACCACGTTTGATTACCAGAGGGTAACTCCATTAATAACCATTAATCACCATTAATTGGTCACCAGTATTGACCATGATTAACCAATAATCACCAGTAATCACCAGTATGAACCATTCATAACCATTAATCACCATTACTCATCATTAATAACTGGTTGGTGGTTTGGAACATGTGGCTTATTTTTCCATATATTGGGAATAATATGGAATAATCATCATCCCAACTGACGAACTCCATCATTTTTCGGAGGGGTTCAAACCACCAACCAGAGTTTCACTTAACTCCATTAATTAGTCACCATTACTCACCATGATTAGGTATGAACCATTAATCACCAGTATGAACTGTTAATAACCATGAGTCACCATTAATTAGTCACCTGTATTAACCATGATTAACCATGATTAGGTATGAACCATTAATCACCAGTATTAACCATATAGTAACCATGAGTCACCATTGATCACCACTAAGAACCATCATTAACCATGCCCAATAGGCAACTCCAAAGCTGGGCCATGGATTCCAGTTCTTTTCTGAGGCGGGTTGCTGGACTGCTTCCCATTGCCCAGGCGCTAAGAACGGAAAGCGCTGCTCGAAAGATGGGGGACAGTAGACCACAAGGATGGGAAAAAATGGTGATCTTCATGAATAGTTGGATGATTCTTGATTGTTTATTCTATGTTTTTTTCTATGTTTTTTCTATATATTTCTGAGGGTTTATGAAGTTTTGGCTGGTCGGGAAGTGAATTTTAAGGAATGATTAAGGCCCCGAGAGGCTTCAGTTGTAGCCACGTGCAACAAAGGTACGTACCAGGATATACGATTTCCTATCTGGAATCATCTACAGATGGATTCAAATTCCCGGAAGGAACAGCTGGCTATATAGAATACGCTAGCAGGTTGTTGCTCCAAAATCCGCCCTCCATCGAATAAAGAACGGACTAAACGTGCATAGGTTTTAGACAGTGCTAGTGGAAATGTCTTTCATTTCGGTTGGCTAAATGATGCTGTACCTTGTTGGTGTTTTTTGTTGTGGACATAGTACATTGGGTTTCGGTCAGTGGTATTTGCAATGGGAAACAAATTGTGTGGTTATGCCATTGCTGTTCGCTCCTTGTGTACCACATTCAAGCAAGCTGTTCCAATCCCCGCATTTGCTTCTTAAGATCCCCATAACACGGTAAACTCAATAGTTTGTTTTTTCCCTCAAGGAGTAGAAAGAAAGAAACAAACAACTCTATCATTAAGTTTGTTTGGCACGTGAGTTAAGCATCCTTAAATCAAGACCTGCGTTGTCGTTAAGGATTGAAGATTGGGTACTCAACAAATCTCATGCAGTTGATCAACTTTCCCCATGTCCTCATTAAAGTTGCAATGTATTGGTGGTAAATCAATGTTTTGGACAACTCCATATCATATGCCTGCTTATGTATTACTGTTAGAATTACTGTATATCATATCCCATTAAATGATTCAATATTCCCAAGGTTTTGTTGCTTAAGTCCGGAGAACATGGGTTTGTCTCAAAAATTGGGTCTGGAACAAGTATTGGTTCATCCCATTTGTTTTATTGAAATTGCCATTTGGAGGTTTCCTAAAATGGGGGTATCCCCAAATCATCCAAATTAGACCATTTTAGTAAACCAATGGCTTTTGGGGGGATCCACCATTTTGAGAAACCTCCAAATCCCAGTAAATCCCTTTCACTCCCATGATTCTTGGTTATAAAAAAAGACCATTGTTTTCCATCATTGTTTCCCCATTTCCAGACCCTCACCTCCCCTGCCCAGTGGCGCCGCTGCGCCCGTAACCACACGTGCCAATGGCAAAGCTTGGGTTTGGTGCTCAGAGCGTCACCATTTGGACATTTGTCCCACTTCATGGAACTGGTTAGAAACCATAGTTTCAATGGATTGTGGCTTAAGGGAAAATCTACAGGAAACCTTTTCGATTTTCCTATGAAACATTGGTGTTTCCTATTTTTTCTGAAAGCAGTCCATTATTGATAGTTATAAGTAATGTATATATATAATATTATACATAACTCACTGAATGCGGACTTACTGTAACACCGGGGTTACTTTAAAAAAACACTTTTACCGAATGATTTGTGGGACGATCGATACTCCAAAAGTGATGGGATTTGAGCAACCAAAAGTGATGGGATTACACGATGTTGGATTTGACTGAGTGACCTTTGGAAATGGGTATTCAAATGTATTTCAACAACTGTCAACAACTAATACGAGGTACAAAACCAACAATGTTATTGAGATAGATTGGGATATGATATAGGATATGTCACATCTTATGTTTATATCCATCAACATGATGGTCCAATGCTTTGGTGTGTCAATGAGGATTCACAAAAACAAGCATCATGGCACTTGTTGGATCATGCCACGTTGCTCACCATTGCCATAAGATCTGTGGCTAGCCATTAATTATATTCGATATGCCAGTGTATTGAAACAACCCCAGGGATGATGATCCAAGCTGATGGACATGACTATCATTATTTTTTGCAGGGTGAAACGGTGAAACCAGCAACTGGAGTAGCTTCCCCATGGAATAGTGGGTTTAAACAACCCCAAAATTTGCTCCTTGATCATCATGGTTCCAATTCATGTATATATACCCTATTTTTGGAACCCACTTGATGACTCACCCCCACTTCGTAAGTGGGCTTTAACATGTTAATTATAACCCCATTACAAGTAGGGTAATTAGGGACAATGTCCAGTTCTAATTGGGCCCCGTTAACCCATGTATCCGATTCCTGGCTAGTTCCAAACCAAGTGATTTTTTTTGTTCCGAGAACATCCGGGAAACAAATGGAGTTGAATAGGAATATGAATATCATATTTAGATTATCATAGCTGATATATATATATATTATGATCATTGGATACCATTTGTCCATCACATCAAATTCCAGTACATTCATTGTTTTGCTGTTTCTCTAATATCCACTTTGTCACCATTAATGGAGGGTGATTTCCCCCATTGGTTCCCCACCATTTTTTACCAAGGCAGATGTGGTGGTGAAGATTGGTGGCTCTGCATGTACCAGAAAGGCGACAATGGGGTAGGACCTGGTACGAAAGATACACTTGCTGTGTGGAGTTACGATATAAAAATGGATAAACATGGGGATTTAACATCCAGAAGAAATGACTGGTTGGTGGTTTGGATCATTTTTTATTTTTACATATATTGGGAATAGTTATCCCAACTGACTAATATTTTTCAGAGGGGTTGAAACCACCAACCAGATGAGGTTTTGATGGTTGTTTTCAACAAAGTGGGATTCGACATGATTCAACCGACAAGTTTTGTGGAAGCAAATGAAACGACATGGAGACTTAAAACGACATAATTTGAACATGAAACAATTGGGATTTCAGCAACAACCATCATCGGGTTTTCTACTGACAAACAACAAAGATTTGCGAGGAGACGGTTGTGTTGTCAAGGAGGTTGAAATACGTATACACTACATTCCATCCCATTCCGTCTCACTACCTGAAAAAATCAGCATTAACATTCAGCATCAACATTCAACATTGCATGACATATTGACATTACATACGATATACATACATCTCATATATCATATATATATCTATTATATATACTTTATATATATATACATACATACAAAAATCCAAAAGTATAACCCATATATGTCATGTTTGTATATCAAATATATCACAACGGCGTAACGATTTGTTTTTTTGCCACGTGTAGGCGGAGTTCGAGACGCTGAACGTGGGCGCCTTGCAAGCCATCTCCTCTCAGCTATCGGCCCTGCCAACGGAAGGCCGGCGATATCCCGGGATCCCAATGTGATTAGCAGAAATCCCGCCAGTGATATTTATACCCTCTGGTGATGACTAACATAGCCATGGTATAGATGGCCCATAGAAATAGATGGTTTACCTGGGTTTACCTATTAAAAATCTGATTTTCCATAACCAGAGAGTATAGCATAGAAATAAGGGAAAATGCTACGTTGACACCATTAAAATCCAGCAGTTAGAGCGTCATGATGATTTTTCCTTCAAGAACCAGCCAGTTTGATGATTTTCCAGCCAGCCCCCAAGCTGATTACCTATTGATGGCTGAAAAAAAGGGTGTCCAAGCTACCAAGCTGAGTTTGTTTTTTCTCCTGGAGATTTGATGGTCATGGAGTCATGGTTTATTGGTCTATTTCTTTGTTGTGGATTATTAACTAAAACATAATGGATATATGTTCAAACCAACCAGTCTAGTGGGACAGGATAGGAATATATTTCATGGCACAATTGTAATGGTTGTTCCAATAGAACATATGCGTTAAATGTGGATGATGTGGGGCGTATCCAGACTTCAGGAAACCTCTACTACAGTTACAAGATGGTACCCCAAAACGTTAGCTAAGTTGGATTTTGAAAATGACAGACGGAGTTGATCTAATCTATGGTTGATACATCATGAGATTTTTATGTATGGGGTTGTAAAAAAGGTGTGTATATATATATATAAAACAACTTCGAACTGGGGGGCACCACCTTGCAGATATGATTTATAAAGATGGACCGGTGGATTCCCAAAACCATTATTGTTAAGAGATTCCAGCTAGCAAGAATTAGAGCTTAACAATTTATTGAACAATGATTTCAATGTGATTTCAGACTGATTCTGGTAGAAGCTGGAAAAGTGATTTAGAAGCGGGTTTGAAAGTTGGTGAATTTCTGAAAGTTAAGTTTAACGTGATTTGTCTATTTGGGGATTCTCACTTTGGTTTTTAAACAGCCAAAAACAGCCAGTCATCGTCGATCTTTAGATGATTTGAGTCTTTCCCCATTTTTAGAAACTCCTAACTGGATGCTCGTGAAAAAGTGCTTCACATACAAGTAATGTGATGGTTTTGTCCGGAAATGGATCCCAAGGTAGTTATGGCAATTTCTAAGTATTTTTTATGAACCACGTAGGATCTAAGTAAGCATCATCCTCACTTTGGATTTCTGAAATGCGGTGTGCCCGGTTTTATAATGTTGTGTTTGTTTTTTGCGGATGATGTAAGATAAGTTTTTTGTGGTTTACAGTGCCGGGCCTGGTTTTTTATTGCTGGGTTTACATGGAAATACCACCATGCAGACTTTTACATTAGACAGTGATGCATTGTTTGATCTTTGTCTTTGAGGTGTGTGTGTGTGTGCGTGTGTGTTTTTTTTTAAATGTATGTGTGTGTGTGTTTCATGAAAGGTAGGGTTTGTCCAAAACACGGAGGCTCCTAGTCCGGTGTTAGCCAAAATCGGACAGACCGTGCAGCCAATCAATGGCGGAACACAAAAAGTGGTGGTGAAGAAAATAGACGACATGAAACAAACAAATCAGTAGATCAAAAATATGCACCGAATATACGTATGTAGAATAAAATATAATATGTATATATAATATAATATAATATAATACAATACAATATAATATAATATAATATAATACAATATAATATAATATAATATAATATGTATATATAATATAATATATATATATAATATATAATATGCATATGTATATATGAAGTTATTATACATAATTAGATATAATCATAAAATATAATATTATATTAAATATTATTTAATATAATATGTATACAATATAATATATATATATATTTAAACTTTAAGATATGTAGTGTTTTTGCATGTAAACCTATAGGTTGCATCCCATGTTTGTTGGCGATCTCCATCTTTGTTTGACGATAGTGCGATGTGGACCTCACCATAGTGAGGGGACTCCACAAAGCCATATTTGGAAGATAACCTCCCAAGTTCAAAACATTATGGAGTATATATTATCGATCTATATATATATACACTTCTAACTTTTTATATATATATATATATGATATGATATATATATACATATCAATAATAATAATGATAATAATATTAATAATATAGTTCAATCAATGAAATTCTAATCATGATATATCTAATGAATAATGATCTATATATTATCGATGTAAACTAGTGTCAATTGCCCGGATAGGAAAACTGCAGCAAAGCTTCGCAAGCTGCTCAGCTCCTGACTTTGGCTCCTGAGTTGGTGGTGCCACCAACTACCACGTGTCACTCTCTGAATTCTGCGCCTCGCCCCGCCTCGCTGACATGATGGACAGCAGAATGACGCAATTCCTTTATGACTACTGAGCACCTCAAGGCAGAGCAGCTGTTTTTGTCCCAAGCTGAACAGTGCATGCAGAAGAGTTCTGGGCGTGCGAGATTCGAAAAATGCGCCGAACATGCGGCCGAGCAGAAGATGTATGGCCACCATGCTGCCTGCAAGCCATACAGGTTGGCAAACACGTGGGTGAATCTTTCGAGGGTTGAGCCAACCGACGTGGCTTGGAAACCGATTCCCGTCGTTTCTTGAGGCATCTTTTTGTGGGTTGAATGGAAATCATCGAACTGGGGGATTTTCCATTGCATTGCATTAACTCAATGGGGGATTTTCATGGATTTTCCATTTGAATAACATAGCTATTGAAAATTGCTATTTAGTTCGTTGATTTACCTAGCTATAAAATGGGTGGATCTTTCCATAGTTATGTAAACGTTTACCAGGGGGTATCAGAAGCTTTTTGTCGTCTTGATTTGTTTGCGGGCCCAGTCCTCATATTCACAGCTCGTCACCGATGAAAAAAAATGGATCAAAATTGTGGGAGGTACCACTTTCAATGGACTTACCCTCTGGTTATTTAACAGTTTGCCATGGAAAGATCCACCATTTTTTATAGGTAAACCCAGGTAAACCATCTATTTTCATGGGCCATCTATACCATGGCTATGTTAGTCATAACCAGAGGGTATCACTAATTATTCCGTGGGAGAACTAGTCAATTGGATTCAATTGGGACGCATCATTCTTATGGGGATTCCGATGGATTTTGCATATTCAAAGATCTTCAAGAGCGCAGACATCTCCACAATCTCAGTGAAAAAAAACAGCAGAAACCTCCATTCAGTTCAGGGATTTCCCAGCCATCTTTCATTCGACGGCAGAAACAGCCTCTTTTCGTTGCAGGTTACAGCCTAGCAGTGGTGCATGGTGCGGGATCCTTTGGACATCAACACGCCAAAGAGCAGCTCGGTGCAGAGTTCACTTGACCGAGCTGTTGGGGTTTTACTGTGATACATATTCTGGTTATTTGGGACATAACTATGGAAAGATCCACCATTTTTAATAGGTAAATCACCATACATATTCTGGTTGGTGGTTTGGAACATTTTTTAGTTTTCCATATATTGGGAAGTTCTTGGGGTGATTTGATCATTAGTTGAGTAATAATTAGTGGCCAACTGGTTGGTGGTTTCAAACATGTTTTATTTTCCATAATATATGGGATGTCATCCTTCCTATTGACGAACTCATGTTTTCAAGATGGTTAAAACCACCAACCAGTAGTGATTATTTGGGGGTTTCCTAAAATGGAGGTACCCCCAATAGCTGGTTGGTTTACAATGGAACATCCTAAAATAATCTGGATGATTTGGAGTTAGCCCTATTTCAGGAAACCTCCATTTCTAGTTATACTAACTGGTTTGATGAGACTTTGCCTGAACATAGGATGGACATGGGACTCAAGACTGGCAATATCCAGTAGTAGTAGGAACATCAGCTTCCAGACCCTACTTTGGGTGTCCCAAATTGAAATTAGGCTGTGTAAATATCAAACACACAACATCTTTACATGACTTTCCTAGCTATACACCTCCATTTATAACTTTCCAGCCATGTTTGATGACCAGAGACGAACTCCACTGTGCCTTACTGTGCCTTTGAAGGTGATCCCACTCCACATCTTTTTGTAGGACTAGCTTTACAATTTAAGGGAGCTATACCCACGTATCATCATGTATCCATATTCCGACAAATTCAATCCGGAATATCCCGAGGTATAGGTATAATTATATAATATATAGATATACAGATATAGAGATTATACAGATATAGAGATTATACAGATATAGAGATATAGATATCACGTTCGATTCATGACCTACCATCATCTACCCAATTTTTACGGCTCATGGCTACCCCAGGTATGGTGTCTCGAAGGGAAGCTCTGAGGCCGCCGTTCGTGCGTGCCGTGGGGATGCCGTGAGAACGATAGCTTATTACCATCTGGAAAACTAACATAACTATGGAAAATCACCATTTTTAATGGGAAAACTCACTAGTTATACCCTCTGCTAAACTAACAGTTTGCTATTGAAAATGGCCATTTATAGTTGATTTTCCCATTGAACATGGTGATTTTCTATAGCTATGTAAACGTTTACCAGAGGGTAACCCCAAACATGTTTGGTTGATGATTCCATAGGTGCCGTGATGCTGCTTGTAATTTTCGAGATGATGGTTGATGATGATCACAGTGATCACAGCTCTTTTTTTTGAAATTCATGAGGTGACTGAAATGAAGAATGATGTCATCACAGGGGGAAACTTATGATCATCTCTAACTGGGTCACGAGATTGGAGGCTTTACATCTTTCCCACTACCAGGGGATCAACAATCACCCAAAGATCATTTGTTGTTGGCTCTATTACATGCCATAGAGCCATTTCTTGTTGCTGTTAATATCCCAGCATGTCATATCGAAATGGTTCCAATTATTGTTAATGCCCTGCAATTTATTGTTAATATCCCAGTCATACGTTTCATAGTATATATGCATATATATACACATATTTATACATTTTTTTTTACATTTTTATACATTTATATATATACTTTGTTTACATATTTATATATATATATATATAGTATGTTATAAGTATATATAAATATATATATATATATAAATATATTCCATGAGTTTTCTGCCATGGCTTCAACCTGGGAAGTTTTCCCCAGATGATCCCAGGCGCCTCTGGATCTCACGCAGCGCCTGCGTGAGGGTTTTGCCAAGACGCTGGGGTTGGGGGTGGTTCATCCAGGGGCTCCTGGATCACCATGGCAGTTTGTTATGGATATCAATAGTTCAATAGGCCATCGGCCTTGTCCATTTTCCAGATCTATGGTTTATCATTGAAGCAATAGGACCATAGTAGGGACCATAGTAGGGACCATAGTAGGGACCATATTAGGGACCATACTATTGAGAGTTACCTTATGGTTATCATTCAAGAGACCTTTTGTAGGAAGTTACTGATCATTGAAGCTTCTGATAACTCTTAGTTCATCCAAGTAGGACCAATAGTAGAGACCATAGTGACCATAGTGACCATAGTTCTCAGTTAGTTATCATCCATAGTGACCTTAGTGTTTTTTTTATAACATTTCACAATCACAGCTATCAGTTTGTTCATCCATGGATGGGATCTTCTTGGGATGATCTTCCGAGTACCTTGGAGAATCTATGGTCATTTTCATAGGGGACATGATGATCAATCATATTTATCAATGGATTGGTTTAAGGGAAAATCTTAACCGGAAACCATGGTTTTTACCATCAAATATAGGGCTTTCCTGTAAATTTTCCCATCATCCAGTTCTATGAATTTATTGTTGTCTTTGTATATTCAGTCGTTCCATTTTTTTGAAGTTCTTGAGGCTGGATACTGGTTGAACCAAGCCTGTTTCTCGGTTTTTTTGGATAGACCTTGAAACAAAGTGAGCTGGATTTCCGGGTTGGACTTCCCATTTCGTGGGTCAAAACTTATTTAGGACTGTGTGCCCACAGTACTGGTATATGTATATATTCATAATTATGTGTATATGTATACATATATATATATATATACATGTGTAATTATATAGGTGTAATGCTGTGTGAGTTGCCAACGTGTAGGTCATATATATATATACATATTATGCATGTGCGTAAATTTGTACACATGTTCATATCATTCATATCTATATCTAATATGTATATATATACATATACTCATTATATCACATATGTATATAATCATACAGGAGTTGATCATATCTATCCCACATTCCGATATGTTTATGGACTTGTTTTTATCCCATTACGAGTATGACTTGATATCATCCTACCGTTTGACGGAAGCCGGAAAGATCGAATCATTGAATCGGCTGCTGCCCTTCTCTGAAGTGAGGCTCTCTAAACGCCACTTTCACTGGATTGCTTCCAGGAAAAATCTACAGAAAACCATGGTTTTTACCATCAAATATGGGGAGGTTCCTGTGAATTTTCCCTCAAACCAATCCAATGACACTTGGAAAGTGTAGATGAGAAATCCATGACTAGAAGGAAATGTCACCTGCAGACCCATGTTACATGATACTGTAGGCCCAACGTTGGTTTGTGGCTGTCAAAAAAGGACCCAAGACATGTTAATGTGGTAAACCCAATAATAACGCCTCCCCAACTTCAAGGTTTTTGAAATTGGGTATAGGGTATACCCCCATGACTAGGATTGATGTTGAATATGATGGGAGGCTTTATGGCGGTGAATCCCACATATCCCTATCATCCTATGAATCATTTTCATAAACACGAATGCAATTAATGTCCATTAATGTCCATCAATGTCCATTAATGTTCATTAATGTCCATTAATCCTCATTGTTTTCTTTTTTCACAGCACATTGTGTTGCCAAGGACGAGATTGTCAGTGACCACATTGAATAAACACGTCACTGGGCTCGAGAAGGGATGTTTCTTGGTTTATAATTCCAACTAACTATTATAATTTATAATATATATATAATATTATATATATTAGTGGTTAGTTTTATGTTGTTTACTGTTGTTATATTTTATCATCATCATGAATGTTCTTTTCGTCATTGTATATCATGACATATACGGACACACGTCATACATCCATATACGTCGACAGGGGGACTCTGTTATGGATCGCAGTTGAGAGGTGCCACTCTGCAATTGGTGACTATTTATGAGACATGTGGGAATGGCTCAAAAACATGAAAAACCATGGTGATCTGAAAATATGTGTGATCGATTTTATTGCAGGCATCGGGTTTTTCTGTCCCATTCTTTAACGACATTGGTTTAACGTCAACTGGTGGTTCACGTCTGCGTTGGTCAAGCCCCATTGTTTGATCGCGGTGCTAAATCACAAGTTGATTGTTTCTCATTTTCAACTACCCTCTGGTCATTTAACATAGCCATGGTATAGATGGCCCATAGAAATAGAGGTTTACCTAGCTATAAAATGGTTTACCTAGCTACATATTTTTGTTAGATAATGTTAGATAACTCTCCATGCTTCTTTCGTTTTTTGGTACCCCCGGGTCGCAGAAACCCAGGTGATCACTGCGCTACTCAAAGAAGGCTGGGCGGTATTCAACTCATTGAAATGCCACGAAATTTGGATCATTGGGGTGATACTTATCAAATACTTACTTATCAATACTTATCAATAATGATAATGATCCAAATTTCATGATCCAAATTTCAAGGCATTATCACAGTACTTATCAATACTTATCAATACTTACTGTGGATGGTTGCGAAATTCTGCACCAAAAGGATGACTGAAAGCCCAACAAAGGAATGGGATAATCCACCGTTTTCAACCGGTGCAGGATTTCTTACAGTATCAAATATGATCAAATATTGCAATATGATGTTTTTTTTATTTTTTTAAGAAGCTATGTTCAACCTTCCTGCAGGCTATTTTCGGACACTGCGATGACACTCCACCCAGGTCTACCAGCGGTGTCCATGTCCCCGTGCCCTTTCGTGGGCACCGAGAAGTTTGGGTCGCTCAGGTGATGTGGTAATATCTGGTAATGGGATGGTTTACAGCATTGGGTGTACATATTTTCTATAGGTCTTCACAAAGCTTTTGATGCATATGTATACAACATCATACTTATATTATGTATATTAGCGTGTGTATAATTCTTGAAAACACGTGTTCATCATACATGATGGTAAATTGTTCCGAATATTTCTCAATCAGATGGGGGTACTTGTTTTCGCTGTGGGGCCTCTGTGTGGCTTCAGTTGGTTTGTGCTTCAATATCAATATATTGTTTGCATACTTTATGTATAATGTATGTGTATATATATAATTATATATATATTGATAATGCTACATATATGTATAATGTATGGTGATGTTTATGTAAAATGTATTTATAATATATATATATGTATATAGATATATATGTAGATACTGTAGATGACCAACTTATAAGTATGGTGCCACATTATAGATACCGTCCACTTGTAGGTTTTGGCCCACGACTTTATCCAAGCAAGCTGAGCGCTGACATTTGGTTCTGCCTCCATAGATTTATCCATCGCATCGCTGGTTGGGTGAAATCACAGAATTGGAAGTGAAACGCAATGGAAAAAAAAAACATCATTTGTTGGTTGTTTCAATGACGTTTTGCTGATTGGGCTCTTTATTAAAGTGTCTCTTAACTGCTTGTGCAGATATTTTTTTTGAAATCAGCAGTTTTAAGTCATTCTGTTCAAAGCAAGATGTTTGTTAGCTTAATGGTTGAATCGCCATGGCGAAAGCCACTTTCGATGGTCAACATTCCTCTTGATGGTCACCACGCTATGGTTTGTTCAGCATCCTTTAAGGCCACCCCATTCGCTACCCCAACTTAGCACAACTATAAATCCCCTTTTGGTATTTGGTATCTAGATTAAAAACCAATTATACATCAACTATCAAAATCATCGCATAGATCATTTAGATCTCCATTTTGGCTGTTGAACTCCACCTGGCTTTTGAATAGCAGAAACCTCCAGGAAGAAGCTTCGGGGAGGCCGTTTGGGCAGCGCCACCCTGGAAGGCGGTTGGCCGGGGATCCATGTGGGGGTTTCGTTACGAAGATCCTCCAGCGATAGGAAAATCATGGTGATTTAGCCATGATTTAGCCATCTAAAATAAAATCATTTGAAACTAAAAGAAAATCACATTGAAAAAAATATCTACTGTGGGGAATATGAGACTCAGACTGCATTTGGGTGGGCTTGAACATGGACTCTGGATATGGCTCCAAAGCTCCCAAAAAGGGTGGCGGTTCCAAAGACATTCCCAAGACTACCTCTTTGCACAAGCCGTGGAGCATCAGTATGGGGCTCACAACATCTGATTTATCCTTTCGCAACTGAACAGTCCGCTATGGAAAATCTCCCTGTTTTGGTAATCATCGAACCGAATAGGCCATGGCGTCCATCACCAGATAGCAAGGATAACCAATGACCGGAGGGTTGGCCACAGTGGAGTTTCGGCGGATTGCGGGGTTGTGGGGCCTACAAGATAGGCAACTTGCTTCAGAACTTAACTTAATTGACTATAGATTATAGGATTTATGCTAGATATATCTACACTCACATTTATCCTGAATTATCCTGAAGTAGATAGAGTATGCTTTTTTCTCAAAAATATCGACGATTTTGTGAGGATTGTTTGTGCTAAGATGTCACTTCCCATATTAGCCATATTTTGCACTTCATTTTGCATTTCATGTCAGATCCAGCAGTTGCAACATTTATCAATTGCAGCTGCCCCTTTTCCAAATCAAGATTGGGGAACGATCCCCGCCGAGCACGACAAGGAGGAAAATCAGAGGCCGCAGCTTAGGTGGGACAGTCTGCTTGCACCTGCTCACAAGCAGGTTATGAGCCCAAGAGGCTGCAAGCTCTAAGGATGATTGATCGTCGTCGAAGGGCAACTAAAGAAGAGTTGGCCCAAGGCGAAGAAGAAATGAAGCAGGCCGAGGCAAGACTGAGAGCTGAGGCTGCGGCATCTAATGAAGAGGCCATAGAGGATAGGAAGTCTGAACCGAAACAAGAGGAAGCAGGGAAGTCTGGAGATCAGACGAATGGACCAGTAGGGTCAATAGAAGATAAGAGGGAAGATCCCATGAAGAATAGCCCCAATGTTGAAGACACCCCGAAACCAGCCAGGTCACATCCTCCGACCACACCGCCTCCGCCATATCCACCAGTGCAGGATGTCAGGTCAACAGGTCTGAAGACACCAGAGCCAGGGGAGAGAGGGAGGCGAGGAGCAGATGAAGGCAAGGAGAGTCAGCGTCTTCAAACTCCAAGAGAGGACAGGACTGGGACAATGGGTTCTCGGGAGGGGCAGAAGAGTGAGGTTGAACAAACTCCACTGTTCACAGAGGAACAGGTTCGAGCACTCCACAGTTTGCATGAGCAGGCACCATGGTTGTATCAGTCTGGTCGCTCAGTTTTCTCTCCCTATCCGCATCCACAACGTCCAGCTTTCTTAGATCAAGAAGAAGACAGATTGAGAGAGCTGACAGAAAAGGAGAGACAGCTACAGCAGATGCGAGATAGGCTGTATCAAGAAAGGTTTGAGAAAGAGGAATTGAAGAGAAGCATGGTGTCTGTCATGGAGGAGAATCGGAGAGTCATGTCAAGACTCTCTGAACTTGAAGCTAGGATCAAAGACCCCGAGCCAAGGTTTGCCACACCAGAAGGTTCACAACAGAAGGAGGCTGAGGCCGCCAAGACAGCACAATCCCCAGAGGAGGACGAGACCTCCAAAGCCCATGAAGGTCCAGGCCCGACCTTCACCCCCGAAGCACCCAAAGCAGAAGCAGGAGGGAACATGACCGAAAAGTTCATGCTCCTGATGATGGAGTCAATGAAGGAGATGCACAAGAACTACATCAACAACAAAGAAGAAGCCGGCATGGTAAAAGGCGTAGAGGTAGTCAGGAGTGGAGCACCAGACTTGCCAGCTCTACCACAGTGGAGCCCATCACAAGGACCTCTACAGCTTGGCGATTGGCTTCTCTTGCTGGAGCCTCTGGTTGCAGACCTATCTACGACGTCTGAAACGTGGTGGAGGTTGGTGACAAGTGGTGCCGAGAGATGGTACCAGACTCACGTGAGCCTTTCACCACTGGATCGAATCCAACACAAAGCAGACCCGCCAACAGAAGTCCAACAAGAGAAGTGGCAGAGACTGGAACGAAGGGTTTCAGTCATGCTTCTCCAGGCGATTCCTGAAGGCATACGAGAGGAGCTGGTGGCATCACGCCGCCTGGGGGTCTTTGGTATCTTGACCCACCTTTACACTGTATACTGCCCTGGAGGAGTCTATGAAAAACAGACGTTGCTCAAGAACTTAGAGGAGCCAGCCGAAGTGAGCGCAATCTCAGAAGCTCCAGGAGCCATCAGGAAATGGCTGAGGTGGAGGAGAAGAACAGAGGAGATTGGAGCTGTCGCTCCAGACCCAGCCCTACTCTTAAAGGGCCTCAATCGGCTCACTCGAAGAGTGATTGGGCCGAACAAGGAGTTGCAGTTCCGCATCTCTATGGTGCGCAACAGCCTGGGCGTTGACACCACGCCTACAGCAGAAACGGTAGGCCACTTTGCAACTCACCTGCTAGCAGAGCTTGAGCAGGTGGCCCTCACAGAGAAGAGAGCATCTCCAGCAGCAGCCAAGGCAGAAGCACCAAAGATCAGGCAGTTTGAAGCAGAGAGAGGAGACAAAGAGAAGGGCAGAGGTAAAGGACAGGAGAAGAATTCAGAAGACTCAGGAGGGAAGCCGAAGTGTCACTTCTTCCTGAGTGAGAAGGGGTGCAGAAAAGGTAAGCAGTGCACCTTTTCACACGATGCAAAAGACGAGAAGAAGAGGTGCTGGACGTGTGGGGCCACAGACCACATGTCACCCAGCTGCACAAGACCGAAGTCAGCATCAGGAGAAGGAAGCCCGACCAAGGCAAAGAGCCTAAGGTCTGAGGGGGAGGAGAAGCCACTGTCCCCGAAGGAGTCGGACACACAATCTTCGGCAGCATCAGACCTTTCAATGAAGGAGCTGATGGAAGAAGCCAACAGAATGCTGAGGTCTATGTCGACGTCTGCATCAGGAAATGCAGCATCGGCGAGCTCCGCAACCAAAGAAGAGGAGGTGAGGAGTGATGTCATGGAAAGGTTGCAGCAGCAACTTAACAGCATGAAGATGAAGGTTTTGAGGATCGGCAAGGTCATGAGGTCAGGAGATCAAGGTCTGATCGACAGTGGAGCCACACACCGTCTCCGACCAGCAAGGTCAGGAGAAAACATCACAGCATACAAGCAACTGCAGGTCACACTGGCAGATGGACGCGTCACTCGACTGCCGATGTCCCCAGGAGGAGCTATGGTGAGTCCAAAGAAGGATACAGAGCCGATTGTTCCAATGGGACAGTTGACGGAGCTCCTGGGATGTGAGGTGAAATGGAAGGGAAAGGAGCTGGAACTGAATCACCCAAAGAAGGGGTTGCTTCCAGTGTATCACCATGAAGGGTGTCCTCAAGTCTCTAAGGCGTTGGCGTTGGAGCTCATTGAGGAAATAGAAGACAAGGTGCAAGGCATAGGCACCAAGGCAGGTGATTTCAAGGAAGAAGAAGAATGGATGAAGAGATTGGCCCAGGAGCACCCAGTGCTGAGCAAGCTGCCACCGTGGATCAAAGACCGACTTGCGGTGACCCCAGGAGAGTGGAGCAGCTTGCCACTGAACAGGAAGTGGAGGAAGAGGTTGAAGCGAGAGGGCTTCATTCTTCACCTCTATGCAGGAGGAAAAGAGGGATTCACTCTTCAGCGGGCATTCAAGCAGGTTGGAGGAGATGAAGGTATGATGTTGGAGGTGGATGAGAAGAGAGGATCAGGTCATGATATGCTCAGTGACTCTCAGGTCTATCCATCTCTCCTACGAGCAGCACTGGAGGGGAAGTTGAAGGCCATTCTAGGTGGTCCAAACTGCCGAACGCGCAGTGTGCTCCGCCATTTTCCGGTAGAAGGAAATCCGGATGCTCCGCGACCAGTCCGAGAGTGGGGTGGGGGGGAGTTTGGCAAGGCAGGGTTGACACCAAAAGAAGAAGCACAAGTGAGGGACGACGATCTCTTGCTGTGGAGGATGATTTACCTCTACATGGTAGCACACTACATGGCACAAGCACGAGGGCTACCCAAGGTTCACTTTGCCCTTGAACAGCCAGCATCTCCACACAGCTACATGCCAGAAACAGTCAGTTTCTGGGACACTGAGGAGTGGAAGCAGGTCAAAGAAGAATTTCAACTTGAGGAGACCACCTTTGAGCAGAAGAGCCTCGGTGGACCAGCCACCAAACCAACCACAATCGGAGGATCCTTGAAGATTGATGTCGAGGACCACCGGTGGAGGAGAGGAAGAAGCTATGAAAAGGTGTCAAGCTCCAAGGATTTGGCGAGGTGGCCACCAGGCCTGATGCACATGATAGCAACAGCACTACAAGAACAAGTTCTGCACCAGGATGTGCAGCTCAAAGCACTCTCATGGCAAGAGCACATAGCATTCAACCACATACCATACAGAAGAGACTGCCGAGTGTGCCAGGAGTCTCTACAACAAGCAGACACACACCACAGGGTCCGAAACCCAATGGGTGGCATCCTGAGCTTGGATGTCGCCGGCCCAATGAAGCCAGCATATGATCAAGGAGGAGGTATGGCCAGGTGGTTCTTGGCCGGAGCACTCACATGGAGGGTCCCAAAGGGGACAGACAAGATGAAGCAGCCAATTGAGGAACCGCTGGAAGAAGATGCACCAGCGATAGAAGCAGCAGAAGAGGAAGAACCAGAAGACCAGCAGCCAGATGAAGCCGGAGAAGGAAGGGGGGGTAGAGAAGACCCTGACCAGCCCCCGGCGGCCGGAGAAGGAAGGGGGGGTAGAGGAGACCCTGACCATCCCCCGGCAGGCGGTGACGCAGGTGCGGGTAGAGGAGACCCTGACCGGCGCCCGCCAGGCGGCGACGCAGGTGGGGGTAGAGGAGACCCTGACCAGCGCCCGCCAGGTGGAGAAGCAGGTGGAGATAGAGGAGATCAACACCAGCTTCCACCAGACCTCGAACAGGAGACAGAGCTGCGAGTCTTCAGGTTGGCGCTTCCAATGGTGACGAAGACAGCCAAGGAAGTCACCAGGACAACGATGGAGTTCCTCTTGAGGCTGAAGGCAGACGGGTACAATGTGTCCCGGATCCACTGTGACAGAGGCCATGAATTCTCAGGAGAATTCAAACGCTGGGCGAACACCCGCGGCATCCACATCACCCGAACTCCGGGAGATGATCCTAGAGGAAACGGCAGGGTGGAGAACACGGTGAAAGCCATCAAGACCCAAATCAGAAGAGCCCTTAGCCAGGCATGCGAAGATGCCAAGTGGTGGCCCTGGGCATGCCGCTATGTCACTGAAGTGAACCGATGCGTCAGGATGGCTACAACCCCAGAGTGGCCGAGGTTCCTGAAGGAAGTGCGGGTCAAGAAAAGGACCTGGAAGAGAGGAAACTTTGAGGTTGGCATAGAGAAGGTCCAATATCTGTGCCCATCAACAGAAGATCATGGGCATTGGATCTACAAAGAAGGAGAGGCCCCCAGGGTGACGAAGTGTGTCCTGAGGCCGACAGAGGAGCCGCTGGATGAGAGGGTCTGGCTGGCAGTTGAGAAGGAAATGCTCGACGCATTGGCCTTGAGAAGAAGGCTAAGAGAAAAGACGTCCGTGAGAAGACTGGACGCGGTGATGATGACGCCATCTGAAGAAGATGATGAGAAGAAGAAGGCCAGAGACAGAATTATGAAGGTGGTCGAAGAAGAAGCACGAAGAATCATACATGACGACCCTGAGATAGCAGGAGAGGAGCTGAAGATAGTGGCCAAGCTCAAGAAGATGGCAGAAGGCTATGAAATGGAGGAAGATGAAGTCCTTCAAACGAAGATTGTCTCGCCCAAGGAGGTGGCGAGGAGATGGAAAGACTGGCTGCCGGCGATCGAAAGTGAGGTCCGATCGTTGGTGGAAGAGAAAGAAGCCTTGAGGATGTTGACCAGAGAGGAGATCCACCAGCTGCAGACAGAAGCAGGAAGAACAGGCTTGACGATGGAGAGCGTTCCGTCGAAGATGGTCTTCACACTCAAGCCAGGTCCAGAAGGAGGTAAACCAAAGGCCAGATGGGTCGCATGCGGCAACTTTGAAAGCCGCAAAGACGATGAAGACAACTACTCAAGCGGGGCAGATGCGACAGCCCTGAGAGTACTTGTCTGGATGGCGATGAAACGCCAATGGCTTGGATGTGTGATTGATGTGAAGACGGCATTTCTGAACGCCAAGATGATTCAGAAAGAAACGGAAGGGCTTCTCTTGATCAGGCCACCGTCCATCTTGGTGGATCAAGGCTTCATGCCGGGGGACGCATTGTTCCTACCGCTGAGAGCGGTGTATGGGTTTCGCCGCTCACCAAGACTATGGGGAAACCACTGAGATGAGGTCATGAAGTCATACAAAGTGAAGGTCAAGGTCCAAGGAAAGGAGGTGACACTGATACTGGAGCCCCTTCAAAGCGAACCCAACCTTTGGAAGGTGATCAAGGCCGAGGGGGAGCACCAGCGCACTTTGGAAGAGGAGTTTGACCTTTTTGGGCTGGTGATGACTTATGTGGATGACATCTTCATCTCAGGTCCAAAAGAGGTGGTTGATGCTCTGCTGCAGCAGTTTCAGCAGACCTGGACCACATCAGAGGCAGAGTGGGTGTCGTCCAGCCCAGTGAGGTTTTTGGGGATGGAGATATCAAAAGAAAAGAATGAAGAGACAGGCAGAGAAGAATGGCTCATCACGCAGGAGTCATACATCAAAGATCTCATCCAAAGACAGGAACAGGAGGTCAAGGAAAAGAAGATTCCGATATCAAGAGATCAAGCGTCAATGGAGGCAGACAGTTGCCCTCCTACAGTAGAGAAGGTGAGGAAGTGCCAGAAGGCTGTGGGGGAAGTTTTGTGGCTAGTCACGCGAACACGACCCGACATCATGTTCACAGTGGCCAGAATGGGTGCCAATGTGACGAGGACCACGAAGAAAGTGATGGAGACCGCAGCACAGCTTTGGGGCTTCCTGAAGAAAACATGTGGAGAAGGATTGAGGTATGAGGAGTTGGCTGAAGAAGAGCCAATCATCCAAGTTTTCACCGATGCGTCATTTGCACCAGAAGGAGAAGAGTCTCATGGTGCATATTTGGTGATGGTGAACCGATGCCCCCTGTTTTGGAGGTCAGGGAGACAGGCATCTGTGACCCTATCTACAGGGGAAGCAGAGCTCAGTGAATTGGTGGAGGGCCTCAATGCAGGAGAGTCAGTTTCAGTCCTGCTAGAGGAGATTGTCAAGGGAGTCCGGAAGGTGGCGTGGACAGACAGCTCCACAGCCATCAGCATCCTCTCGAGCGAGGGAGGATCATGGCGAACACGTCATCTACGCCTCCGCTCCTCCTACGCCAGACAGGCGATTTTGGGAGGAGAATGGGGCCTCAATCATCTCCCAGGAGAAAAGATGATCGCCGACATAGGCACAAAGGCACTGACGTCTCCCAGGATTGAGACACTCAAGAAGCTCATGGGCATGGGACAGAAAACAGGAGAGGCAGAAAGAAAAGAAACAGGTTCAGCACAACATGAGGAGACAGAGCAGCACACCATGAAGATGGAACAGGCAGCCAATGCAGTCAGACTGATCACTTTGGCTGCTATCCTATCAATGGCCAAAGCGGAAGGAGAGGATGAAGAATCAGAAGAGCGAGATGGCTTGAGGGAGTTTCACTGGATGATGGTGGCATACACCGTGATGGTGGTGATTGCCACGGTCTTGTTTCAAACTTGCTGGAAGGTCGCAGTAAGGATGAGTCAGGGAGAGACCGAAGAGCCTCGTTCCCAGAAGTCCAGAAGTCGCCCCAGCAGCACAAAGTTCCTCAAGTCATCACGATCCAAGGGTGTTCCCGGTGAGGCAGGGGAGGGTAGAGGAGACCCTACCCAGGTCCCGGAAGTGGGTGACGCAGGAACGTGTAGAGGAGACCCTGTCCAGCGCCCCAGTGGCGGCGACGCAGGTGGGGGTGGAGGAGACCCTGACCGGCGCCCGCCAAGTGGCCCGTCTGGTCACTTTGGTCCGGCATCATCAAGCCAGGACCCAACACCCCAATGGATCGATCCAATGATCGAAGATGAACGATGGTGGAAGCAGCTTGAAGAAGATGAAAGACAGATCAGAAGGGAGCTCAACACCAAGGGAAGTCCACTGTGGGTAGAAAGCGACGAAGAGAAGCCTGAGATCAAGATTGGCTTCAAAGTTTTCTTCACGCAGTTTGGCGCAGTCTTTCATTCGAATCCAAACTGCGGTCATTTGCATGGGCCAAAGATCGGTCCTCACTACGAAGCTCAGTGGTGTGAGTTGTGTAAGAAGGAAGCGGAGCGCCTCAACCAAGCTCCGCTACCAAAAAAGGGGATCCTTCTTGGAAAGTCCGTCAAGATTTTCCATACCAACCATCGATGTCCAAAAGGACGACTCACAGAAATGACTGCACTTTGCAAGAGCTGTGGATGAACTGAGAGGGGTAGTTTGAGCGTAAAGTGATGTTTTCCTTGCGGAACCATCAAGGGGGAGTGCTAAGATGTCACTTCCCATATTAGCCATATTTCGCACTTCATTTTGCATTTCATGTCAGATCCAGCAGTTGCAACATTTATCAATTGCAGCTGCCCCTTTTCCAAATCAAGATTGGGGAACGATCCCCGCCGAGCACGACAAGGAGGAAAATCAGAGGCCGCAGCTTAGGTGGGACAGTCTGCTTGCACCTGCTCACAAGCAGTTTGAAACATCCATATTCTATTGTTATACTCCAGGATGACTATAATATAATGTATACAATGTATACAAGTATACATAGTATGTATTTTATATCATATATGATATGTATCGTATATTGCATATTTAACTTTACCCATCTGTAAGTGACCGCGGGAGCTTCGGACCAGGAACCAAGGGCCTTTTGCAGAGAGGTTTTGTTCCTGCAACTTGGACGAAATCCAGAATGGTGTGAATTTTCTTGGGACTTTTCCATGGGGATTTATTGTAATTGGATAATATCCATGTGTGTATAATATGGGTATGGGTATGGGTCAAAATTAGGTACCCCAATAATTGGATGGTGAATACTAAACTAGACTAACATCTGTGGTCCCCTAGGTCTTCCATTTTGACCCACATCCATATATAATATTAATATCCATGGATTATGGCCACGGATCTGGAGTTTTGAACATGTTTCAACACATTGGGATTATCCGTCCTTGGTGTATGATCTACATGGAAACATCCAAAACATGTAGGTCAGGCCACGGATGGTGGCCATGGGATTCCACGGAATCTTCGAAGATCTGAAACGTATGTTGCTGAGGCACAGGGATGTGGAAGTACCAATTCAGACATGACCAATTCACTCAGTTTTTTGTTGGTTCTTTTTCAGGAAGTAAGAAACATCAATGGAAGAGTTTCGTATAGTTACTGAAACAAGTCCAATCCTGGTCCCACTGCTGCATTGTGGGTTGACAAACACTGACCGTCCGAAATTGTGCGGCCAACAGCCCAAGACAAAAAGCTTTAGTCCTAGGCCTAGGCGACCCATTGTCCAAATCGATGCAACGTTGCAATGGTTTCTGCTGGTGAATATCACACCGTTCTTCTCCGCAGTGATGGCTGTGCCGTGGCTTGTGGTTCCAATGTGGACGGACAGACCAGGATTCCAGCTTTGCCATCGGCCGGAGTGGCATACACGCAGGTTTCAGCCGGAGGAGGTCATACAGTGCTTCTCCGAAGTGATGGAACTGCTGTAGCTTGTGGAAAAAATGGTGCTGGCCAGTGTGACATCCCGCCTTTAGATGCTCAAACCTCCTACACCCAGGTGTCTGCTGGTGGGTGTCATACGGTTCTCCTCCGCAGTGATGGCCAGGTTGTTACTTGCGGAATGCATGGTGGACAAAGCGAGCTTTCACTCTTCGCTACTGCAATGAATTTGTCATCCACCCAGGTTTCTGCGGGCAGATGTCATACGGTGATTCTCCGAAGTGATGGCCATGCGATGGCCTGTGGACTCAACAGAAATACACAATGCAACATTCCGCCCTTAGATGTTGCCATGTCATACATTCAGGTTGCAGCAGGGGGGTATCATACTGTGCTTCTCCGCTGCGATGGCCGTGCTGTGGCTTGTGGAAAGAATACTCACGGACAATGCCACATTCCACCTTGTGATGAAGGAACATGGTACACCCAGGTCTCTGCAGGCAATGATCATACAGTACTTCTCCGAAGCGATGGTTGTGCGGTGGCTTGTGGATTGAACGTTGATGGGCAATGCAACATTCCACCATTGGATGAAGGAATGTCGTATATTCAGGTGTCTGCAGGCTGGTTTCATACAGCACTCCTCCGGAGCGATGGCTGCGTTGTTGCCTTTGGAAAAGGTACTTCAAGATGTGAGATTCCATCTTTGGAGCCGGGCTTTTGTTATGTTGGCGACGCTATGCCACATTCCAGGGATGTCGTTTTGCAACTTGACTTTCTTTGTGAATTTGATACTTTCATGCTCACCTGTTTCAGTTTGGCTGGGGAACAGGTACTGCGATTGAATGCACGTTGCTCTGACTTAGCTTGGAGTACTTACAAGCGCATTGCCTGTAAATTGAACGTGAACCTCCCAAGTCTAAAGCTGGTCTTGCCTGACGGCCACTTGTTGGCCTCCATTTGCAGGGCGAATCCACTAGCAATTGTTGCGGATCTGACTAGGCATGGTAAATGTCTTACATAATTCCCGGGGCAAAGGCCCCCGACGTACTGTGTTGCTGGGGATCTATCTCAACTTTTATTGATGGTTGCTGTACCTTTCGACAAAACGAGAGAGTACCCCATCACCTGGCGGATCCTGGTGGCTACAGAGAGAAGCAAGCCAAAAAGTTCAAAGAAATCTAGAGAAGGTCAACAAGTGGAGTACCAAAACAAACTTGATCACCTTCAGAAATCCCTTCCCCCGATCATAACCCCCATTTGGATCCATTGAAACAGCCTTTAAAATGAACAGATCCAGTACTCAAGCAGAGTTTCAAGGCTATTTGTTTGAGATCAGGGCGACGAATTTATTCGACCTACCATTTTGGGAGGGTCAATCATTTTGACCCACAACAACATCTCCCAGGAATTTCCTGCCAAGTCTGCTTGTGCTTGTCCCCGCATCCGGATGCGCGAAAATAAGTCTCATTTCTTCAGGTGTTTTGAAGATCGAAAAAAAATGCCAAGGTTTGTCTGAAAATCGTGTACCCTCCGGTAAACGTTTACATAACTATGGAAAGATCCACCATTTTTAATGGATAAATCCACTATAAATGGCAATTTTCAATAGCAAACTGTTAGTTTACCAGAGGGTACCCCTAAACCCAAGGGGTGCTTCTTGTGCCGCAGCCTGGACCCAGATTCCGATTCCTGACATGGTCCATCCCCCAAAAGGTGATGTCCAACATCAAAAACAGCCTCATCCACAGTAAGGTTCAGTTATACCTTTTTGATCGCGCAGTCTCGCGTTTTTATGCACACTTTTGCTGTAAGCAACAATTTGATTCTCGAAAAAGTGTCAACATATATATATATATAATATATAAATGATGATGATGATGATGATGACTATGGTTGTTGCTTCAATCCAAAAAAAGTGCAGATCTGATGTGGTCGCCAAGGTCGTACATGGTGATGCTGTGCTAGACGATGCGTGACCTGACTGGAGAGTTTGGTTGGCCAATGGGGGCGCAGTTAAGGTTCTTTAAGACGTAGTAGTGCTATAGGTGGTGCCCCAGGTCAGCAGCTAAGTTGGTGTTTAACTGATGTATAACTAGGTTTATGGTAGATGCATCAAACCATATCTAATGTAGTTTATAAATCAACTTAAAACTGGAAGGCGCCATCTCGTATAAATAATGATATGATGTTCGATCACCATCATTAAGTCGGCATGAATGAAAACCTTGTAACTATACGAGTTTGTGATCAAAATGGTGATTTAGATGGATTTACTATTCCCATCTATTCCTCAATTTTAATGGCCAAACATTGCCATAAGAACATGAGGTTTCCAGCGGGTATCGGCTGACAAAGCCATGGTTTTCGAACTCGCTAAAACGGCCCCTCGTTGCAGTGAGTTCAGTTGCTAAGATCGTGTTTTGTTTCGTATTCGTACTGTGGGACTCCAAACAGATTCAAGAAACTATTATATATATATATACATATAATGATGCCTTCCTTTCCATACCCATAATGCGTTGGCATTGGCATATTGCTATACATACTATATATAGAATCTACCCTGCCTGGGCGATTCTGCGCCAATGTCTTGGAGCTGCGCAATGCACCTGAAAAAGTACCATTCCCATCCATTCCCTCTTCAATTGTTGAAGAGTGTTGCTACAACATCATTAACTAATATTACATTATGTTTTTCTTTATTATGCAACAGTATATTCCCTGCAGTTCTAAGTTTTTCTGTCGAAATTCGTGTGATTCACCAAGAACCTCGTCGAACTTTCTCCTGGCTTTCCCCAGGCAAGGTGTGGCCATTTTGAGCGGTGATGTCTGGATGGCCCGGGTACCCATGGGTACCCCGGGTTTGTTGGTCTCACATGTCTCACTTGGAAATGATTAAAATGATTCAGTTTTTGGGGTCAAGTTACAGTGGCACGGGGTATGTATGTGTACATCGTAGGATTTGATACAATTTGACAGGATATATCGCCAACTTTACATGATCTTTGGCTGTTACTTAGTACGAATAGGATTCAATAGGATATAACCCCCAAATCAGAAGTGCACGTGTTCATGCAAAATATAACAATACATTATACATATATTCATGTGCATGAATTATACGTGTATATATATATATACACACATACATAATACATATATATATATATACACGTATACATAGTGATTGAGCAGTGGATTTAGGGCCGATCAAATCCCCAGCACTTCCAAATTCAGGTAGAGCTATGTCGAGAACTGGGCGCCAAGTCAGCCGTGCCGGGAGCCCCGGCTGGAGCCCGGGCTGGAGCCCCCGGAGCCCGGGCGCCATGGCTGTGCTTAGAATATTCGGTCAGAACATCATCGATAATGTCTTATCCTGAAAAAAAAAGGAAAACCTTACAATCATGGATTATGTCATAAATATCAAAGAATCAATAATCCATCTATCACTTCCTAAGTTCAGAAAATGTTGGAAAATTTTGGACATAAATCCTGGCTTATTGAAGTTACAAATGGGCATGCCCAATTTTTTTTTGTTCAACAAACACTGGGTTCACCAGGCGAGACAGGATGATCCCACAGTTGGGACTGGGAAAACATCGAGCTTTGGGGAATACTTCGCAGACCCTTCAAAATCCAAGGTGATGGTCCCGAGTAGTTGGCTTATTGTGCTTTATTTATATATATAGACATATAATGATTTACATATATGTATATGTTTAACCAAAGCTAAGTGTAGTTAACACCATTAGTCACCAGTTATTCACCTTCATTGCCAACTTGGCGACCACCATGGACACCATGGACACCACCTTGTTGGTCTCCAGGTTTGTGACTGACGTGGATGGTGTTTTTACTAAGCCACTTGGCGGCAGATGCGAAGTTTAGATCGGTAAGAAGGCGATGTTGCCATCCCCAATGTTACCATGTTTACTTCATGGTTGGTATAAACATGCACAAAGCATCAAACTATGGGTGGTAAAAATGACATTGTTTTACTGTTTTTTCATGTTTTTTTCCAACAATAGGGTGAGTGACAGTTTCCCCCCAAATGCTCCATGTATGGTGTATAAACTGCATTTGGCCTACGATTGGGGTAAATGTTGGAGAATCTTCCATACACACAGAGCATCTGGGCACTGCAGTCTTATAACAAAACGTTCATGATAAATGACGATAACATTACAATCTTATTCGCTGTTAGATAGCTAAGTTGATTTATAAGTAGCTTTACAGCATGGTTTGTGGTTGGTGGCTAGATGGGTCAAACATAGCGTCGCTAAACATAGAAATAAAACGATAAAGAAACTCGTCTTTTTTCACTGCTCCCCGCGACACCCCAAACCCGAATTTCCCCCAAGCAATGCTGGTGAATTCTGATTTTGATGCTTGAAATCCCATAAATCAGATTGGGGAAGGGGTTGCTTCAAGCTATAATAGGTAAATGGTAGCAACAAGAAGGTGAAATTGGTCATTTTGCTATTTTGCTTCTCTACCCAGATTTTCCCCGAAACATATCTGGCTTGTTGGGAGCGACCCTGATTGTTGTCGGTTGAATTCCCAACATGACTATTGGTTGCTTTAACCCCTTTACATCCCATTGAATCCCCTATCTTGCTAGTTAGCCATTTGAATCCACCATTTCAGGGAAGATTCACCACATATGGATATATTGGCTAATTGTGGCCATTTTCAACATTATTTGATCATACATCGAATCCTATATATTGTTTCCTGAAATATTGGATTCAATATATTGAAATTCCTGAAATTGTAATTTTTAGATATGATTCTATATATATATATAGGAATTGCCATATATCAGGATAACATGGCCAATTGTTTCAATATATTGAATCCAATCTATGGCCTTTCAAAATCCAATCTCCTTCCTGAGATTCCCTCCATCCAAGGCCACCGAGCGAGGCAGGCGCCGAGCTGGTGCCAGAGATTTTGTTGGACAACAAGGGCGAGTTGGAGCTCCGAGGCGGTGAAAAACGGACATGTTTCTCGTGTCTGAAACGTCGCAGTTCTATGGAGACGCTGGTGGAGACTTTAGTCCGGAAAGTTGTGGTTTGATTTGAGTTACAAATTCAAATTCGATCATTTTTCTCTGGTATCTGCCCAATAAAAAACATGAATTGTATGTGGCAAGTGTGGATTTTCCAAAAAAGAACACGAAATCATCCCATCAAGACCAAAGAAAAAAAAACTTGGTGAAGTACTTGGCCAGAAAAGAATGGTAAAATGGGATTTCTCATGGATTTTACTGTACAGGAAAAATATGGGAAAAATGGGATTCGGATATGTCATGTTAACTGATTTCACACGATATGAACATGGGCTAGACATGCCCGGCGCCACAGGAGTGTCCATGAACACCGCGTCGCACGATGTCACTGGTGGCCTAAAGGCACAGCGCCATTGCCATTTTTTGGCTTTACCGGGTAGCCTCCAGTAAATTACCCTCCGGTAAACGTTTATATAACTATGGAAAATCACCATTTTTAATGGGAAAACTCACCTATTTCAATGGCCATTTTCAATAGCTATGTTAAGTTACCAGTAAATTAACAGTTCGACCCTGGCAGAAATCGGGGTTGAAAGCTTAGTTTCCACCAAAAAATGTTCATGTGTGTTTCAGGGTCGATGGTGGCTCATCCCAGTTAGTAAGTGGATTATAACCCCAGTTATAAGTGAACTAACCCTACTTAGCCCAGTTATAACCAGGGGTATAACCTACTTACTAAGTGGGGTGAACCACCAAGTATACCCTTTTTCTTAGACCCGGTTGTGATGTTTCAGCCTTTACACCTTGGCTCAAATGGTTTTTCATAGCTGCGTAAAGATCCTCACAGACTGGAACTCCGAGCCAGGTGTCAACAAAAATCAACTCATTAAAACTGTCTGCAAATAGGATGCCCTTAAAATCCGGTGGTTTATCATGATTCCCTTTCAACATAGGCAATTTATGGCAATTTGATTCAATTTGCTACTGTTTTTTTCCACGGCAATCATCTCCAGAAGTTGGGAAACCCCAAAATCCTATGTAGCACGGCATCATTTTTGTCTGTGTAAGTACCATCTTTTGATGGTGACATATGGTGACATACCCTTGTTGCTGGTGGTGATGTTGCTTAATCCCCAGAAGTTTACTGCTGATGTCCTTACCCCGTTCCATCCAGTGATTGATAATCATCTTCACCGAAAAAACTCGCCATAAATTGGAAGTACCTATACAACTTATAGCCGTCAATTTCACCAGAAATTGACATCCCATGGTTTTCCCCAGTATATCCCTTCTATCCCCAGGATGGTTGGTTAAATCTGCACAGTTATGGCCATTATCAGTAGTAAGTACTAGCAAAACCCCATATATAGAATGTTTCTCATCCCATAGAAATAACCAATTATAACTGATACCCTCTGGTAAACATACAAAAAACTATGGAAAATCACCATGTTTAATTGGCAAATCACCATAAATGGCCATATCTGTAGTTTTTATCAGTATCTCCCATGGTCCCACGAGGCCAAACTGGAAAGCGCCGCGGACGTCTTGCGAGGAGCGCCCAGCGTGGAGGCAGGGATTTCTTGGGAACGCAGGAAGAGTGGGGATAGTTGAAGTGGAATAACAAATAAGTGGGGATAAAAGTTACTATAAGTGGGTAAAAGATGGTAAAAGATGGTAAAAGTGGAATAACAGAAAACTATCCCGACATACCATTTTGTGGTAAAACGCAGCAGGAAGAGCGGAATAAACTCTAATTCTATAATTGGGTAAAAACATGGGTTCCTTTTTTGGTTTATAACTACAAGTTTCTTAGAATGAATTTATGGTGGATGTATCTGCAAAGATATCTACACTTTCTGGTGGTTTTATACTTCAACTTATAACTGGGTCGGCCACTTTCTGGAAGAAAAATCGAGTGGTTTGGTGGTGTTTTGATGTAGTTTGACCACATGTTTTGCCACAAAATGGTATGTTTCACCAATGAGCAACGGTATGTTGACAGAAAATGTGGATTGTATGAATTGTATGTTGCTAAATGTTACTTTTAGGACGTTTTTCGCAGCAAGCATATGAGGATATGACTTCTATGGCCCACCATGGGATTTCAATCGACCCAAAAAAAGGAATATCACCCCAGATCCGATGACAGTAGATCGTTTATCATTGAAACAATATCATCGAAACAATATCATTGAAACAATCACACTGAGTAATTACAGAAGATAATGGGTATGCTTCTCTGAGTGTGTCTGTATACCTGATTGGGCTGGTTCCATTTCAAATAATCCTGTTCACACAATGGTTGACGTCATCCAATATGACAATATGTTGTTGCGTGTTGATGCTTCCAAGTTCATGTCTATTCCCAATACATGGAAGGATGATCCCCTATCAATACATGTCATCACGTGACCCACTTTAGCTGTAGAATTCCACCATCCATTATGTCCTACTTCGTTTTAGCTAGTTCGTTCTTTGAAATATGATGCTTTTGTTTCCAACCTGCTTTTTTATAAGTGATGATCCCAAGCGACATTCGCATATGTTTGTGGGTTGAAAGGTTGAAACCACGCAAGGAGTCAACCAATCTGCAGTGTCAGGCCCAGATTCCTCATCAAGTTTTCAGCCCCGCCAGGCTGTGTACATCGTGCGGGCTGGCAGCAGCGCTGCTGCAGAGGCGTGGGGAACGGGACCTGAGGAGTTCCCTATTTGGGAATGGTCAGCCAAGCCTATTTGGAGATGTTGACCAACAATGATGATTAAAGCAAAAAAACGAACATAAATATTCCCTTGTCGAAATTGAGTGTTCACCCAAGAGAAATGTGGCTTAACCAACAGCAAATGAGATCTGAGTTTGGAAGGTGGGACATATCATGGAGAAATAGGGAGTTATTTGAACAAATGTTGGCTATGTGTCTTTTCTATGTCTAGAGTTAAAAGTACAACAGTTGGATACAGCTGTCATATGCTGTCATAGCTGGAAATTCATCCAGCAACTAATCGTAGTTGTTGTATCGTAGGTTTTGAGTTTGACCCATCCCCAGAAGTGACGACATGATTGGCTCTTGACAAGCCAGTTGGGGATGGGATTGGTTACTTCCACCCCAAGGCGAGACCAGAACTATAGCTATAGTCTGAACCCCATGAACTATAGTTGTAATTGCCATGGTGTTAATGAAACTATAGCTATAGTTGATCCTAGTTAACCATAGTTATAAATAGTTATAAGCTATAGTCCATGGAGTTAATTACACCCAAACTATAGATCCTAGTGATATCAGTTATGTGCACCAACTTAGCTATCTAGGCTGGCTTTGCAGGAAAAGGATCTTCCAAATCCATCCAAATCCCATGGGACACGTTTCCAGATTTTTCCAGGCTCTGCACGGACTCGCTCCAAAGCAAGGCGCGCAGCGCGCTGCAAGTGTTGAACCTCACAGGCAGGTTCCCAAAACGATGGGAAGAGGAACCATCCCAAAGATGGTTAAACCATGTCAAACCATATTAAACTCCCATTTTTCACGTTCAAACCTATGATTTTTTCCCGTTCGAAAAAGAATGGTCCCATGCCTGGCGACCACTTCAGGTACTACTCTCAGAAGACGCTGAGAGATGTGAGGACGCTCTCTAAAATGGCGTGTCTGAAAATGGGGCGTGACCTCAAACTAGATCATAGATAAATAATATATATATATATACACGCAATTATTCAATAATAGATAGATCATACGTTATTTATATCAAACTTGCCGTTTACTGTAATGACAGATAGAGAAGATACTTTTGATTTATCAACGGACTGTAACGGACACATTCGCGTGCCCCATTTTCGGACAAACGCACACGGGCATGTCTCAATATTTGGACCCTGTCCAAAAATGAAATTCTACTTGGGGAGATACCCGGTCTTTTAACAGGGCAGATTCTGTAGATTGCACTTAGAACGTCGGCTGGTTCGAGATTCTTTTAGCTCCCAAGTTAATTTATTTATGTTATGCTACTTTGACCCTTAGTGAACCCCAAAAAAAGACTGCAGCAGCATTTGTCCGTGGTAAATGCTCATTTTGATGGATAAGTTGATATGTTGAGGGTCTAGGGAAACTACAAATGGCCAGTTCCTTGTTGTTGCAATGCTATCCAATGCTCAGCCAGTTGAACAGCTATGGGTCACGGGTCTAAAATCGAGAGGTAAATCACAGTCTTGTAGATGTTTGATCCCGTTGGAAAACTCTACCCATGTACCGTGGTACCTTCCCAACGACTTGTCGAGCGGCACTGGCTAGAAAGCCAGCGCCGGCAATTCTTCTGCCTTGATTTGGCAGGGCAAGAGCCGAAATGTTGAGAAAAAGATTCATGAGACATGTCGTGGCACATTCATGAAATATGGACCATGTATAAACCATGTTTGCATATGATATTCTCTATCAAATACAGTACTCGCAGGTGCCAAAAGCAACAGGCCCATTTCCCCAAGGTCATAGCTCGATGGCAACACTTAGCCTTGAATTTGCTGGGATGGTGGCCACAATTCTTGGTGATACCTGGCACCACATGATATTTACCGACGCGATGGCAACAAGGTCATAGCAGGTCGAGCCATTATTTGGTCTGTGTCGAATGAGTCCGGGTGGTTCATATCATGAACAATTTTCATGGGTCAACAAAAAAATGATGTCGCAAACAGTGCTTGAATCGCTCATTGTAGAATGAATAGTCAGGGGCCCATGTGTAGTCAGGTTCATCAGCATCTTTCTTCCATGGTTGGCTCAACTTTTTTACAGATCCCTCTCCAGCTCGCGTTGCGGCGCAACGCGCCTCCGCGCAGGTTCCTTTTTGATCATGTTCTTGGTCTGGGGATGCGCCAACATCATCCTCTTTAACTTGTTGCCCGGCACGTCCCGGCGATTCCGAAGGTCGAGGACTGGCTTGGTACCAATGAACATCATTCTGTTGTCGATCAACTAATGTAAATCCATCCCGAGTAATCTCGAGTACATGATTTCAGTGATTAACAGATGTTAAGAAGTATAATCTATATTTATATACCTAGGAACCCAAATGAATGTTTTTTTTGATCATACGGCCTCAACCATTTTTTTTGGTCATTACGGCTTACGGGTGTTTCCCAATTTGGGGGTTCAGCCATAATCACACACAATTGCTTCACTCCCCCTTTTTCTGTGCTTTGGACCATCAGCTTCAAGCGGGCCCGTCATCTCGGCGAAGCTTCTCTTCGTCGGCTGCTGAGTGTCAGGGTTCGGGCTGTTGACCCACGCTTTGTTTGCCATCACAAGATACCTTTGAAGTACTCTCAATCCAATTGCCCTGGGGGAAATGCGTCGGCTGACGCGACAGCATCTCCCCACAAAGTCCTGAAATGAGACATCCCCAGGGAACGGAAAATACAACAGTGATGACACATACTAGGATAGGACCACATAACGACCAACATATCAAAATTCAAATAAATTCAAACTAGACTCCTCATCAGCCTGCACTGACTCCGCTAGGATGTTCAGTGTCCATTTGTTTTGGGCTCCAGATACCAAACGACGCCAGTGATGGTCCAACATGTGAAACTTAACATAGATCGGGAAGCGTGATTTTCGCTCAGTGAAGCACCTATAGGCAAGATTTGCATAGATACGTAACCACTTTCTTCCGTTGTTTCCAGCTGCAAGCGCTTCATTGGACGTCAGCCACAACCCAGACGAGTAACGAATTGAAAAAGTGTCGTTGGCCGCTTTGACAGCTTCAAGAATCATCAAAAAATACTCGTCCTCATTGAATTGATTAATCCTCCCTGTCAAGAACCATTCCACAAACCTGTGGTAGATATGCGTGTCAGCAAACTTTGACCAACCTCCTTCAGGTAAGACCTGGAAGCTTGTAAGGCCAATTCTCTCCGCAACAAATGGACCTGAATGAGGAAGGTTGCAACCCGGCCGTTTGGCCCACTGACGTAGGAGAACATCCAACTGGGAAATTTTGTCTTCCCTTGACCCCGGCAAAAGAAGCAAACATTCAGCCAGCACTGAAGCTATGAAAGTTTTACCTGCTCCTCCATGGTAGTTGTGCCAAACATCAGTCTTGAGATAGTCATGGGGACGATCGATACAATGAAACAATTGCAGCACTGAAGGTCGTGTAACCCAAGGATCAACTGTAGCAACCACAGACCATTGAGCATCTATGTTGAAATCTTCAAAAGGCCCCCCTGGCTTTGTGCCAGCCAAACACATCCAACAAACCCCAGGAGGAGATTTGTTTTCCTCTGACCTGTGCGCCCTTTGCCAATGCCTCGTCAGGTCTCCAACGGTCCTCAAAAACGGAAGATCCCCTTTCACACCTAAGCAAGCGATGTTCCATCTTTCCCCTGCGTAGGTAAACCCAATGTCTTGAAGTTTGAGGAGGTCATTGATCATCTTGTTGAGTACAGCCTGGAAATTCTCCTGAGTAAGGATAGGGGGCTGAGTGGGATTAAAATTAATGTCACAGGAAAGGACAACCAAAGGCAATCTAAGAGGATAGAAAATGAATAATATCATAGTCCCAGAATCTGGTTTCGCCTTGTAATGTTTCTTTGGCATTGCAACAAACAGCATTCGACTGTTGAAAGAGCTCCCTTGAAGGTTGATACCCATCTTGAGTTGACGAAGAGATCTAATTGGATGTCTTTTGAGGAAAGGTTTGCTGCCACGACCAATGGCCCCTTGTAGGCTCAATATCATGACACCCGATCGTTTGAATCCACGACCTTCATCACCATGAATGTAAACTGGAATTGTTCGTGATAGCGACAGCTTGTTTTCAGCAGCAGCTCGAAAGACTCCATAATCTGGCCATTCAAGGCTGTAACGTCGCCAAAACTCTAACAACATTGGTTGCACTTGTTCCATGGGTTGTTCCCCAAACAACTTGGACAAGTTGTTGGATTGAACCAAGTAGTCAATGGTGTCAAGCATACTGAGCACAGGGTAGCTATCACCACCATCCAAGTCAACCCAGGAAACCGGAATCTTCAACGCCAGGTTGTGCTTCTCAAACCTTGGTTGGGGCAGGGTTCAAAGTTAAAAAGTGCAAGTTGAAATGCAACCCAAAGCATCCCTAAAAAGAATAATTGCCGTAATTTTTATATGGGATCATATGGAGTCAGCTTCAGCTACGTCACAGTTTATGGCATTCGTCTTCTGCTCTCTTAGTTGGCACACTTGCAAGACGGGAAGTGATTGGGCAACTTGTAGATCCATAATGATCGACTGCGGCCTTGCTCATCTCAGCTACAGACTTGGCGGTGGCCTGGGCGATCAAAATCCAATCGTTGGGGGTACAATAAGCTAGAGATCTGAAAAGGGTCATGTGAAAGAGATCATGCGAAAGAGGTCATGTGAAAAAGATCATGCGAAAGAGATCATGTGAAAGGATTCATGTGAAAGAGATCTGGTGAAGGAGATCATGTGAGAAAAAAAACTTTGAAGCAGGAGCTTTTGACCTTTTTCTTTGCCAGGGATCGCTAGCGTATGTCATGTAATTTTCAGCATCACGTAGGGCAATGGGAGCACCACGTGGGAACAACAGCGTGCACATTTAAGCAAATTTGCACAACAGCGCAAGCCATACTGCATGGCCTAGCCATAACGAATTGGCAATTGAAAAAAGCCCACTCAGCTGCCACAGCTCACATTTTGATCGGTTTCATCACGGTTCACTTCCAAGTTGATGAATTTCCAATTGCTAATGACCGTATCCAGAACCTGTAGTTGCTCCAAATCACGGAGTCTTTGCCTTGCTTCAAAGGCATGCTTTTCAAAAGGCCGTTTGGGTCCTGCCACAAACCCCCAGGGCAAGTCTGGGTCGTGAACACCCAAAGCTTCAAATGAAGCCTTCAATGAGGCCAGAATTCTTTCCCTTTTCTCAACTACACGGGCTCGAGTATCCATGGGGAGCTGACGACTAAACTATTCTGATTTTTTGTTTGTCTTTTGGGCCAAATCTCCAGAATGGTGGCTTGTCCAAAGTATCCAAATATAATTCATAGTTTGATATAGTTTGTTTTTTTTTCACCCTTTCCCTCTTGGGTCCCCGGCACCATTTGCAATGCACGATGCTGCATGCTTTCCCATTGGTCCAACAACACCTGGCATGGCCAAGGTGCTGATGCGATGGCAATGGGATCTACAGAAACAGTGGGAAGGCCAGGGATGGGTCTTTCTGGGCATGCTGCACTGCATGGATAAGATTTGTTGCACTACCCGTGGACGATTTTTTTTTCATGGAATTCACGCTAGGCCCAGGTGAGCATGTTCAGGGTTGACTCCAATGCAACCACACGCTTGAAAGGGCTGTGAGATCGATCCAAAGCAAATCATTTCAGAATTGCAAAACCCCATTTCATGAAGTTTGCCTTTACTTGGCAGACTTGGCTTTCGCCTTGCTCTTTGCCTTCGACTTTGGCACCTTTGGTGCTGGCAACTCAGAATTGGTATCGTCGTTCTCAGACTTGCGCTTGGTCCGGGCAGATTTCAAAGCCGGCCTTAGGTATGACCATGTGGTGATATACCGTGATATGTGTATCAGACTTTATAAGATCGATTCTACTTCAAATATAT